TGGTATATCACGTAACAGTAAAACCAGATCAGATCTTGCGTACAGCATCCGGCAACGCATTTGCGATAATAACTATACTTCCTTAGTATGGTAAATGTCTACAGGCGTCCATTACCATATCCCATCAGATAGATCGCTTGTGTGTTTGCCGATTTAAATGCCATAAAATAATAATAAAGACACTACCAGCAGTTTACAGGTAGTCTTAAGTGGATAGTCACCGTTATTGAATGTTCTGCCCTATCCTTGGAAAATATTGCTTTTTTATACATATCACGAAGTACCTTACCTATTTCTGCCGCCAAGTAGTAATTGATACGTTACTGTGTTTTGAAGGGTAAGGATGTTCATTAAATGTACGGGAACATGGGACTTGTCAACTTATGTCGCAGAGTGTAAGGCACCATGGCAGTGCCTCTCTTGCGATTTAAAGCGAGGCACTCCAACTGGTATGGTCAGGCGTGTCGCATAACACCATGAGGCAAAGAGAAGAAGTCATGCTTCTTCGTCTCGTCTCGGTGTTACACGTGAATTTAAATTCGTTAGTGGTGAGAGTACCGACCGAACATCTGTCGACCTTCATGAAGGAAGAATTTTGACCGAAGGCCGATATAAGACACAAATCGGCGATTCCGCGGCGGGTTACTTGACACCAGATTGCGCTCCACGTCGCCTACAAGTGCAATTCGTGTAGATTAGCTAGAAATAGTGTTTTATTATATTGTATGTATGTTAGTCTTTAAGGTATAAATTATATGCGCCATGTGACCTGAACTAAATAAAAAAATAGAAGTAATAATTACAAAAAAAATACGCTTGACGAAGCATGGCGATGTGACCTACGATGGCATATGTTTGAATAGCAAATTTAAACGCAATATAAATGACGTAAGGTAAAATTTTCAATGAATAATCACAGAATATGGCTTGATTACCATTTTGTATCAGATGCACCCATGAACTATTTTTGGTTTGAATACCATACAAAAATATATGCAAGGAACAGTGCATGGTTCATGTTTCAAGGCACCGGCCGTTCCCACTGAACTAGTCAACTCGGTATCGACCCTAGACAGGTAGAAAAAACTTAACGTTTATGAAAATAAGGTTAGGAAAAACGTCATTCGCACTACTTTGGCTCAGGAGACAACATGAAAAAAAACAAGAATTCAAAATCGTCATAATGTCTTACCGGTCTTTAATAGTCTGTGTAACCTTGTAGGCCAATTTGTTTTATGTCAGTGAATGGAGGGAACCCGTGAGATCAAAGCCTTCAAAGGTGGCACCTTCACGTTAAATAAGCCTTATTACTGAGATTTAGGAGTTGCTATATCGCACTTATTATTTATTTATATTGCACGCCTTATTATCTATTTATGCTGTTGTCCAGTGTTAAGCAGATATTTCTAAACTGAAACCTCATGGTTTATTAAATTTTTTTTCTAAAATTTTGTTGAAATTAAATAAAACCTCTTTATTATGGTTCTCGTTTGTGGGCACAATAAAAGATCTAATATATTTTGCAGAACTTTAGCAAAGGCAAAAGTCATCAAATATGCGCTCACCTTATGGCAGGCGGTTATGGCAAATCATGTAATTTCTCTACGTCCACGTCCAGCATTCGACTCTTCAGAGAACCGCAAACTTTTCATCCGCTAGGAACTAAAATCACTTTACAGTGCTGGAAAGGCCTAGGAGCCGGAAAAGTTTCGTCAAATGTACCGAGTTACTGAGCATTATGCTAACTAGAAAGAGTCCTTCTTCTGCACATGAATTGCCATAGTCGTTCTGGGAGTCTTCAAATAAACTACGGAATCAGGTTATCTGGAACAAGGGTAACTTGTTCAGGAGTAGAGTTTCGGATGCTTCTAACCTGAATTGTATATGCGGTACGATTCAGACGATGACTCACCTCACATTCCTGCCCTCTTTCAGCCCATTCATGCAGAGGCATGCTTGAGGATTTAATGGCGGCTACGCGGTCGGCTTGGCCAAGTTTTGGACTAGAATAATATAGTATACTCCATCAAATCAAAGAAAGAAAGAAAACTTTTATTCATTAATTTTTAAATTGTATTTTGATTGTCTTAATAAGTGCATTTGCTACTAAATTATTATATGAAAACCATTTAAAATTTCTAATGCAAACAAAAAAAATACTAACAATAAGTAACTTCCCCGCACTATCACTTTCATGGTCCCATAAGATTGAATTCACGTTGCCCGTTATGGTTTTAATAGCACTAAATAGCTTTAATAACGGTTAGCGAGAGTCGTGTTTTGTCTATTGTTAGTGCAATTATTTCTCACGAAATAATTTAAATGTTTAATGTTACACGCAGCTCCGCCGGTGGTCATTTGGTAAAATGATAGTGTCGCTAATTAAAAACCACAGGCCACAGCTATGGTTACTCAAACTGTCACAATTCTTTTGTTGAAAAACTTGCGCCACCATCATCATCCATAGTCCAATTCTATCCAATGCTGAGTATTCACCTATCGTAGTTTGTGCCATCCACCACGATCTTGTTCTAGTTTCATTCATTTAGGCCTGTGACTTTGATGATGTCGTCAAAATATCTCAATGCGGACGTCTCACGTTTCTGTAACTACTTCTTGGTTAACGTTCAGTTGTTGTTTTACTCCATCACCTACGCCTTACGTCATAGGGTTCATATCTGCAGTTTCCAAGTCTTAATTACCGCAGAAAAGTGACCAGATTGTCGGTTTTCTATCAGATACTTTTAGGTGTGTGTGTGCAAGAATTTTACGATACTGTTACATATTACCATTCCTCCTTTCGTCTGTTAGAAAGTTCGGAACATTTATGTAACCGAATCACCATTCATTCCAACAAAGCGCTTTATCCTTCGTGATACCCATGGCAAAGGAATAAAATACACTATCTGTGTTCCAGAAATTACACTAGAATTAGTCATATTGATTAAACTCCACTACTACTTCGGATTTGAGTCATGCATATTTGTTATTTCAAATAAACCAACCTTTTGGGCTCTTTACAGCACCCGTGGTCACGGCTACGACGATTTTGTTTAAATTTTTAATCGTACCGGAATTTAAAAAAAGTTGTCCACGCTACGTTTATTACATTAAGTTCAGGAAACTACTCGTATGCTTTGCGTATTGCTATATCCGCTAATAAATTAGCCTTCTATCACTTTGTATAGTCGTGTGGAAAGCTGATTGACGAGTAATTTGCCTGCCCCTTAATCGCAGTTAAACCGCGTTTACGACTACTGGGTTTTGCTTGAGAAAGTTAGTAAATGTAGCTACGCAGAAACTATACTAAGCTAGGGCTTTTCCTACTTAAGAACGTGTTTTCTGCGACTGGTATACTAAATTCTAACAATGACCTTTTCAATTGAGTTTTTTTATGTGGGAAGCAGAAAATCCTCATGGATGCCATAGGTCCAGATGAGATGTATATCGACTTCACTAGAATGTAGATCCAGTGACTTAAGGACTAAAACTGCTTTTGTTGTTGCTACTGTTAACAAGTATAATATATTTACATTGTGTACTGTTGGTTGTTGTTGTACAAACAATCTAACTCTGTTAGACTACCTAGTCGACTTTTCTGGTGATTTTGTTTTTTGAACATTTTATCATGACGTTTAAAATTGGTCCTTTATACTATCATTTCTAGCGACAAAAAGTCTTTCTTCATCTTATTCTGTCGATGGCATCACTGTAATGCTTGCCATATGTCTTTCTTTCTTCTGTAGCTTTAGGCACAGTTAGAAATAAGTTCAAAAAGCTTAGAGTCCAACAATGGAATCAAACTCGCAACCATACGTTTACATACATTGTGTGCATTCTGCATGCTATATACAATGTTATATTACACAATCAGTAAAATTAAGCCATAAATCACTACCAAATAACAATAAATCAATGTAATTACAGCTCGATAAATAGATCAATCAGCATACTGACCGACGGGTCACGAACTCATTGTATTATTGATGGGAATTGAATCTGAGGCCTGCGTGTCTCGTGTCACCGTCGCCCATTCAGGCTATACATCTTTCAATCAACCTTGTTTGAAGTTCGGACAATTAATTGCTTTGCTATGGAAGCAATTATAGTCGCCCAGTTATTAATTGGCCGCGTTAGATGTGTAGCGTAAAAAGTACTTAATCGTGTACATTATTAAGTATGTTGTTTGCTGACAAACCCACCTATCAATTCCTCACGGTTAACACCTGTAATGTCGAGCTGTAATGCTGAGCAATGCTGTATTGCAATTTATCTCAAAATATTCTTTTACCCGCTCACGCGATGCGCTCCTTCTACCGCAAAATGGCGGCTATTTGGTTTCGCAAATTAGAAAAGCATTAAGTTTAAATACAAGTTTTTTATAAATAAAAATTATTATTCTACATTGCTAAATAAATACCTCCGAACTACCAACAAAAAAATCTCAAATAAAATGCAGTAATTCACCGCAAATCCTGCACTTAAAAAGCACTAATGAAATTGTTGGTGTACTTGGATAAATATGATAATATTCCGTTTGAGTGATTTTAACATTTACCATGAAATTACTCCTTAAAGTATAGTTTATAAACATTTATATTCAAGGTAAACTTAAAAAACGCTACTTACGGTTTGTTTTCAATAAATAATCACCGAAATCACCAGCCCAAACAATAACACACACTATTGTCGTGACGTATTTTTGAAGTTGTTTATTTTTTTAATGACAGACCCAGGCATTAAAAACTTTATGGTTTGCTAGAGTAGTTACCGAAATAGCAATTAATATTAGTTCTTTTACCTGTTATAACTTCGACATCCGATAAATCGGTATAAAATCATCACCGGCACCTCTAGGTGTGGTATGCGTCTACGGCTGCATGTATCGCGTGAGCGGTTACTTTTAATGCTCGTGCCCATTAATTACGTATCACTATATCTATATCATAAATACTAATAAGGTATACCTATAATTAATCGAGCTTTTCCTTCATCCACAGACCAGTCTGCCGCAACTGCGTGGTTTCACCGACAGGGTCATCGCCACCACCTCTGCACGAGCAACAGTCACCACCGCCACCCGCACCACCATCGCCAAGAGCCTTAGCCACTCTGTCCAACTTACCACCTCTATCGTCCAACGTGCTACCTCTTTCACCCAATTTGCAAAATCTCCAACCCAACGTACCAACGCTACCCCCTACCATCCCCTCGCTCCCTCCTGTCCCGTCACCCCAGCCGAGCCACAGCGGCTCCGACCCCAGCCAGTCGAACTCTCCACACCCCTACTCGTATCCCAACAACTACCGACGCTACGACTATCCTGGAAGTAGCTATCAGAGTCCGCAATCGCCACAGTCAGCCATGAGTCTGTCACCACATCCAATCCCGCAAGGGAAATTCAGGTAAGTTCCTGACAATTTTACTATCAAGACAAGGATGCCATCTGACCGTAGACAGACATAAACATACACTCTCGGGCTTATAATTCGAACCACCTTGCTCTTTTATTTTGAAAGGGCTAGAAAATAAAAATTTTTTTGCTATTTATTTATTTAGGGGCTTTGATCGTTATCGAACATATCAACCCCATTAGAAAATCAATACCTAATAAAATCCAGACAGATAAATCAAAATACTACCTAACTAAACATGTATCCAAAATCTCCGCGGCATTACACGTTGGCTCCGACAAAACGAATTGAAACCACTCAACATTAAATGTAGGGAAACCAGCCTGTGTAAATAACCACGCCCTGAGCTCCGTAGGCTCCGTATAAACACACTCCAAGAGCAAATGATGTACATATTCAGGAATCCCACAAACTTCGCAATTCGGTGAGTTCACCCTCCGCATCAAATACAAAAATTTGTTTCATGGAATTGTCCGGATCGAAGCCTTTGACCCCTGCTTAACTTAATATGGTCAAACCAAGGGATACGAGGAGGCTCACTCTGTATGGTCTTGTACTAGATTCTGCTTGTTTGCTACCTACATAAAATAAAAATAAAAATTCAAATTTTCAACAAGAACATGTGGAAATATTGATTAGTATACCAGTTAAAAAATTGCTTAATAGTTTTTAATCAAACATTTATAAGCTAGGGTATTTAATGCTGAAAATGCAAGGCGACTCAAATTTTGTGTCCGAGAGTGTATTATATAAGTACTATCACGTCTGTCCCACGACGTTTCTGACAAACCTCTGTCGCCTCCTCCACTCATCAGTCTCTTCATATATGCCCGTTTATCTTTGTCATTTTTAACATGACCTTAGTAAGGGCTTCCCTCGATAAATAATGTCCAATCATAATACATTACGAGGAGCCGTTAAAACGCTTGTCGTATTTCATTATATTCCAGAGGCTTACTGGAACACGCCGAGCGGCTGATGAAGCCTGCAGATCCTCACCGGCACTCGCAGAGCGACGACGACTCGGGCTGCGCGCTCGAGGAGTACACCTGGGTGCCTCCTGGCCTAAGGCCCGAACAGGTGAGCAGTCATGTGCATCTATGCACTAGCTTCGTTTTGGCGTGTCAGGATAATTGCTGCTTGAAAGCGACTAATGCGAGATCAAGTGACGGTGAGTCGTGATCATTGGTGATAATTACGGCGGGCTCGGCCGCCATCAGACATCTTTTGTTTCCTCAACGTCGGTTCTAGACAAAAGCAGTCATTTACAAATGGACATCGAAATATCACCAAAAAGACAAACTCCCCACACAACAGTCTTCAAACAAAGCGCGACTGAAAAAACGGTTTTTCTTCCGATTTGCAACAATACTGTCCCTCGGGTTTGACATTTCAGAGAAAAGCACATTTTACCTTTGTCATTCCTTTTTAAATCGATTTTGAAACGCTATGTGCTTTTTGCTTAAACGTCTTAACAGTTTAAAACATATGTAAGTACATATAGTTTCACTGTGTCCGGCCAAACATAAGGCATAGAAACTTATTAAAGATATACATATTATGCATTTACTCACATGCACATCAACAGAGTAAACCAGGTGCAATATGTTTATTTATAATGTCCCACCAGCCAATCAGTAATTTAAACGCGGTGATAGTTACATGGGTCAATTTTGATGATAATAATTGTAAAATTTTACTAAAAATCAATATAGTAATAATAATTTGAATAACATTAAAATAAATGTACAAATATCAGAAATGAGACAATGAAGATTGGGATTTGTCATTTCAAAATTTGGACACTATATACATATATGTAGTACATTTTATCAGTCAATAAAATGTTTAATTGTTTTTCTCAAAAAAATTTCTCAGACCTCAGTATTTTCGGTAAATTATTGTAAAAATGGCTCAAATGGCGAATTTTTTTAATTACGCACATACTCAACATAGCCCCGCACTAGGGAGACTGTGTCGCGGGTGCCATGGACATAGACAACCAGAAATTACACCCAAACTCAAGAGAGAAATAAATGTATAAATATTTCTCTCGGCCCGTAACCGTTCGGCCACAGAGGCAATAAATGTGAATTATATATGTTTAAACATTGTATTGTGTAAAAAAATACAACAAATCCCTTCGCCATTTATTTCAAAATGCTTTTTTTTTATACCAGTGTATTTTATTGCTTTGACACGGTAAACTTTCGGAAGTGAAGTAATAATGCATTTTTGCAATTATGCTGTAAATGAGTAAATTATCAGAATGGTCGCATCAAATCTCTGCAGACACTCGCATCGCGAGTCATTATTTGTGCATTATGCTGTAGCTCATGCCCATTACGGGGGGGCCATGAGAGGAAGTCACCTTTTACCTCACTTAAGTCACAACTTACTCGCTTATCATGAACCCTATCACGATGACAAAATCTTGGCTTTTGTTCCATCGAAAAGAATATCATTTTGATAGTTGTTTATTCCACATGTTGAGGATGTTGTAAAAAGGCGTTTACTGTTAGTGATCTTACCTAGTCGTAATAATAAAACTTTGTTGTTGTGACCTTTTTTGACCTGACTGGACGGCCGGCTAACGGACTGAAGGACTGGCGGACTGATAGACGGTGCGTTCGTGTTCTTTCGTTTAGCTGTTATGTTACTTGTTGGGAACGACTTAACCAGACTGGTCTAGTGGAGGAATCTCAACCTGACACCATTAGACGTTTCTTTGCATTAAGTAAGAAATTAGCTTTCGAAATTGAGATCGCGCAAATTTTGTGTTTGGGATTTTTTTGCATATTGTCAACATTGTAACTGCCTCCGTGGCCGAATGGTTATCATGCAGGTCTGCCACACAAAGGTCCCGGGTTCGTTTCCTGGGCTGGGAGAAATATTTGTATAGCCTACAGTTATTTATCTCGTGAGTTTGGGTGTAATTTGTGGTTATCTGTGTGTGTCCATGGCGCCCGCCATACAAGGTTTCTCTAGTGCTTCTTGTTATGAAATAATCCCAGAAAAGTTATTTATGTAGTTCGATTTACAATTTCATGTTGTATGATAATACCTAGTTCACTTTGCCAAATTAAGTTACATCTTTTATTTAAAAATCTCTATTTAATATACGCGATTCAGAAAAAAAAATCATTTCTAAAAACTAAAAACTCGATGCCATATTTTCAGTGTCATTTAATTCTAAGCGAAACAATGAGTTCCGTTCTCGTTTAGAAAAGAACAGAGAAATTAAAACAAACAAATCTGTCTGAAAAAGCAGTTTGTCTTTACCACTCTGTTCTCAGAGGGAAGACATTCCCCCTAAGACGTTTTAATTTTTTGCTCGACTGAATCCTTATTTTTGCGGTAATTATAAATACCACGCTGGTATTTCGTATTCAAACCGCTACCAACTTGGTATTCAGGGAGTGCCGCGTTTAATTGTCAACTTTATTAGAATTTGTTTAATTAAAGAAAGTGGTTTCATTCCGAATAGGTCGTAGACATGGATCCGTAGAGTTTTAACTTATGCTTCTTTGGTTTAAAGTGAGCTGGAATTATATTCTATTGTTTCTTGACAGAGCAAAGATGGAACATCAAAATACCTATACACATTTTCGTTTTCACACCTATACACACGTTCGATTCCCGCTAGAACAGATTTAGAAAACGTTTTGATGTGGGTAATTATACAATTCCCTAGTTTAAGTCTGATCAGTAATGTGATTGTGTAGCACAATAAAAAGAAATTTGGTATAACTCTGGATGATAATCAGAAAAATTGTGTCTTTATCTAATCTTACTCAGTACACCCTCCAAATGTATGATACATAACCCCGATTAAAATATGTACTCACCAACGCCACTGTCTTTTTTATGATACAAAATTACGAAAGTCATGTACGTGGTTGTAAGCGACACGCCTGTCCATAATAGTTGCAGAGCCGCTCAGAGCTTCAAATCGCAGAGATCTAAGGGGCACTGCCACTGCACCCTTCGCTCTAAGAATTGACTAGTTCCATGGGCCTGTAATTCCGCCAGCACCCTTACCCTTCTAAAACGGGACTCAATTAATCCTTACATTACTACTTGGCGGCACAAGGAGCTCTACTGCTCTATATACTCTATATAATCTATAAGCTAACAACTCGTTAAGACCATACATACAGATGCACTGTTAAACTTACAATAACTTCGAACGTATAACTACTGTATAACTACCTTTGCGTAAAATACTGAAAGCGGAGCTATCGAAGACAGTGTTCTGGGCTGTGAAAGTGATACCAACAAGCCTTTAAGTTCGGCGATCCAATGAACCTAAAACATCCAGCTATTAACAGACAGACTCGTTTCAAGGTGACAACTGTACTCCATTCAAGTGTGAACTTGAGCTCGACGAATATTTAAATGTATTTGGTACTGTGGCTCAGTCTGGTTAGATTGTATTATTTTGTATTTAGAACTGTATAAAAATAAGAAGATTGTTATCTAATGAACATCGGGAGAGTTCTGGACAAATCTTCAAACGGGATGCTCACAGTAAGTCTTAAATTATGATTATATTCCTCGTTTATTATTAAATAGTACTTCTCTGTACGCTATAACCACGGCTACGCTCCCACAGTACCATCTATCTTTGAAAAGAAGTCGCCTTTGACAACAGTTATCGACTAAGAGGTTGGCAAAAAAATCTAAGGCACTGAAAAATGGATACAGTCAGGCCTATGTTTTCGATGCGTACAATCTACCGTACTAATAATTTTCTCCTCCAAAGCTTTTCTAGAGCCCATGTCGTGTCCAATAGTACCGTTATCAATGTTGTCCAACTAATTCCCTGTCCGCCAATAATCCTTATGATGTATGAGCCTTATTACCCGTCGCTGGGATTATTTCCGTCTTTTAATATGAAGACAAATGAATGGGAGAGATATTACGGTGTTTAGTGATCATGGTGGTATAAACACATTGAAAGTACAATATTAATTTCCCTGTTGTTAACCTATCAAAAACATGATAAGTGATAATTCACTTGTAATATTTTGTTTTGCCGTGTAATTTTTTTTAAACTAGAAATATCTTTGCACGGGATTTGTATTATTTGGACAAGCAAACTTTCTTGTACTATTGTTGAAAATCCATGTTTTACTTTGTATCCCAGTTACACGCGATCATGGAACCTGTAAAGAGCTGGAAAATTTGGTTTATTTCAAAATATATTCTAGATTTAGATCCGATAAAAATGGTCAATAGTCTTGGCATAAAGTGAAATAAATCGGGTGGTTTTTGTGCCGTGTCCACGAATATATTTTATTGTAAAAACACTTCCTAATTCGCTAAATAATTACCAACTTTGAAACAGAAACTCTAAATAAAGTGGGAAAACATATCAATAAACAATTTTAATAAATAGCATTCTGAGTCAAGTAAATAAGTTTTTTATATAGTGCTGGACAATCACAGCAATGACCAGGACCACAAACAATCGCGAAAATCTAACACCTCCGTAATTGATGTCTCATATCGCACATGAAATTGAATATTGTCGTAACTCAAATTTGTGGAAATCAAAATACACAATTAAAAAAAAACCCGAATGGATCTCATTGCGAAATAGCGTGATTGTTTTTATTTACTCACAATGCTATATATATATATATATATATATATATATATATATAGCATTGTGTGTAGATTTACTTCATGTCCTCTCTATGTAACTAATTCCACACAATACCCACCTTGCAATCCTGTGGGTTCTCACTACTAAAGATGCACATTTTGGTTCGATTTCTATAAAGATATAAAGATCGATTCACTTCAATTGTAAGTCCAGTTAAAGAATATTTCATCGGGTTCGAGTTTTTATTTTATCGAGTTCTTGGGTTTCCGCGATTGTTACACTGAAAGTGAAACTGTTTTATCGGGTCTCAATTGCGCATATTTCGTGTTCCAATAAAAAACCAGCGTTTCGGGACAAAAAGTTTTCGTTCCTAAAGCGTATTTTGTTTAAACATGGATACGTGCTGTTTATATGAGTAAGGTATATTGATAAATGATAACACGGTCCAATCAAAACTAAATCAAGTATGGCAACGAGCTCAGTATGTACACGGCGTGTCTGATGTTTAATATAATAATACAATATAAGACAGCGTAATGTAATATAAGAGAACGTAATGAAAATGCTACGTGACCGGCATTGTTACGACTTATATTACAGCACAGTTCGTTATGTTAATAGATATAAATGCAGAAAGCTTTACTGGCATTTAGGACGACGCGGACGCGTATTGTTGGAGGAAAACGAGGAGGAATATGTGGATACTGAAGTCCGAAAAAAAAATTCAACACAATATTTTTTTAATAGGCACAGGCTTGGCCTCATCCCTCTTTTTTATGATATCAAGTGACGGACGAACAAATCGTGCGCCCGATTATAAGCGACACGCCTATCCATATCAGTTGCAGTGCCACTTAGAGCTTTTAATCGCAAGATCTTAGGGGCACTGCCACTGCGCCCGTCACCCTGAGACATAATTTGACAAGTCCCATGTGCCCATAATTTCACCAGCACCCTACCCTTCAAAACCGCAACACATGAATGCTGACATTACTGCTTGGCGGCAGAAATAGGTAAAGTGGCAGTATTCCCTGGACGAACTCTTTCACAAGGAGCTCTACTGCTACAAAAATCTGATGTTGAGGCATGATGTGACAGATGATAGTACGCCTTTTATTAAAAAATGTCAATTCACTATAACAGCCGTGATAGTGTAATGGTTTGACTAACCGTCTCTCAAGCCGAGGGCGTGGAATCGCAATCAGGTTTTGCACCTCTGAATTTTTCAGAAATAGAGTTTGTCACTCAAACTAAATTTAGACGTTTTTAATACAATTATGTTTATTACGTATTGGGCAGTAGTCGCATAGTATTTCTCAATTAAGAGGTCGACGGGTCGAATCCCTGTGGCAGCATGTACCTGGGGTTTTAATTTCTGCATGATATAAATTTGTGAATGTTTATCAGCGATACTTCTCGCTGACGGAAAATGAAAACATCGTGATGGAAGATGTACGTCGAATAAGGTTCACAAATCTTCTCCTTAGAGCCCGTACTAGTAGTGGGACGTATAATGTAATGACGGTGACGATGACTATGATTTATTACACACATATCTCCCACTGGGGTATGCAGAGGCTATGTACTATCACCCTCGTATATTCCTCCTTCATTTCCTCCACTTGAATCTTCATCTGTCATCGTCATTTGAGCTGGCCTTTCTATGGGCATCCCCAATCTGTTAGAGATATGTACGTCATAGCTTCTATAATTTTTTTGTTAGCCTACCAACTTTCATCTTTTTCCTATGACCTTACAGTCGAAGCATACTTGTTTCTAGTCACTTCACAGCTCTCCATTCTATCTCTAATGCTATCATCAGAGGGATCGCATGCGCTAAGTCGAGACTTCTGCTGCAGTCCATGTGAACGATGGTTCCGAATTAAAAGCAGCAATGGACATTCTTAAGAGGATACATGACTTTTTTTAGTAAGGGCAAAAAGTGACAATTATTAAGTCTCGACTGCAGGCATGCCATCTGTTAGCCGCCTAAGAATACCATGTATTCATTATTATACCAACCTAAGAATACCGTGTATGTTATATATATATGCTCAATCCGACATTTATTAAAATATCGTTTGGAGCGTAGCTATGGATATGACACCATAAATAACCTTATAACACGGTAATAAAGTTTGCTACACGTAGCACACAATGTGCTACGAGCTACGACAAAATCGCCTTTATACACGTGGCAAGAGTGGATTAATTGGAAATATTTGCAAGTATTAAAAAAATCCTATCTCTTATTTTCCAGGTGCATCTGTACTTCTCAGCGCTGCCGGAAGACAAGGTTCCGTATGTGAACAGCGTGGGTGAGCGGTACCGGCTTAAACAGCTATTGCAGCAACTACCACCGCAGGACAATGAGGTACCACTCTTCATAACTACGTAACATACACAAAATCTTCAGAAAAATCTCATGTTTGAGACCAGGTGTAAATGTATAACACATTGTAAGTCCTTTGTGTTCCAGGTGCGATATTGCCACGCGTTGTCGGATGAGGAACGTAAGGAGCTGCGTCTGTTCAGCGCTCAACGCAAGCGTGATGCGCTCGGCCGAGGGCAGGCGAGGCAGCTGCATGCGCCCGCGCCCTGTGATCGGGTATGTATTGTATTTTTAATACTTTTGACAAATAACACTTTTTGTAAACGACAGCCACTTAAAAATTTAGTCAACCTCGAATGAGCGTCTTGTAGTTAGCCTCATAGACGTCCTTGACGGTTTCTCCGGAAATGAACATTGCCATTATCGACATGCCTGCCAGACGGGTTGGCGATTGTGTTGAAGTCGCAATAAAATAAAATTAAAATGAGATCGCAGCATGGAAGAGAACGCGTATACGCAGGTAAGTCATGTATGCACATTTTTCTAATGTAATATATGTAAATATTCATCCAAAAAACTTGTATAAAGGTAACAATTGCAAGTAAAAACAAATGCAAAAGACGATCGTAATACTTAACCTGTACTTATATTTTTCTTTCACTCTTTGCTATAAATTTTAACGACTACATTACTGAATAATTAAATCCAACAATTCACGACGAAAACGTACACCTCACTAGAACATCCCCATCTTCCCCGAGTCTCGTGATAGCCATTTGTAATTAAGCGAATCAATTTACTTGATATTTTCATCAGCCCTTCTTGCGATGCTGCCGTCGTCCAGTGCATTTGTAACTTCATCCCCTTTCATATATATTTAGGGGCGTCTGTGGTACGACGTCGTCTATATATTTTTTACTCTGGTGTTGTATAGATGTGACACTGTCGTGTGTTTACCTACCTTAAACTCTGTTGGGAGTTGGTAAGGGCTTCCCACAGATTCAATTTGCCGAAATGTGCCAAACAACCACGCCAATGACTAGGTTTCCATTTCGGGAATTCCCTGTACTATGAGTACCAGAATAATTTATTAACTCCGAGTTGCGACCAGACCAGGACCAATTTAGAAAAGATTTTTTTCGCAATTTAACCCAATTTTTGGGAATTAAAACCAGGGTACCAACTCAGCCGATACCCAGGTCGTTAAGTCGAATTCATGCCTTTGAGTTGGTTCGACGTTAAGATGTTTTTTTTTATAATATCACGTGACGGGACGAACAAGTCGTGCGCCTGGTGGTAAGCGCCACGCCTGTCCATAACAGCTGCAGTGCCAAGCAGAGCTTTAAATTACAAAGACCTGAGGAGCACTGCCGTTGCGCCCGTCACCCTGAGACATAAGTTGTCAAGTCTCATATGCCTGTAATTTCACCAGCACCCTTAAACCCTTAGACGGGAACGCAGTAATGCTACTGCTGCTTAGCGGCAGAAATAGGTAAGGTGCACTTCCCCGGACGAACTCTTTCACATGGAACCCCACTGTTTCTAAGCTGACACAGCCCTGACTCGCTTACGTCTAACTTAATATTACCTACAAATTTGCTACAGTTTAAAAATAAATAAATTTTTATTTTTTATTGAATTGGTTTTAAATTATTTTTTGTGAAATTGCTCCACTAGTTTGTTATAATTACTTATTTGTTATAAGCATATCGTACCAGACACGTCTGCTAGTCTGAGTCTGGCACGGTAAGCTAAAAGACGTCGGTTCGAATTCGGCCAGATCGAAGGAATTTTTTCTGAGTGTTCGATCCTTGTATTAATAATAATAAATAAATTTGTTTTTTCATATTAAAGTTCCAATCCGCGATCATTTTTATAGATGTTTAATTGAGTTACATGAAAATAGCTATTGAAAAATAAAGCACACTCTTAGACGCGACTGTATTTACACCAACAAGGCCTTAATGTATCTTAGCAACGTACCAATGCAATAGCAACTGCTTTTTCAAATTTTTAATCTCAAAATAAACAAAATATGTTGCTCAAACAATGTGAGGGGTAAAATAGAAAACACTACAAAAAAATCACATGTATCAATTGCAGCCTGTTCTGCTACCCCCGTTCTACAGTGGCATGATTTATTGCTCTGGGATTAAAACATTGCCAGCAACAGAGGGGTAATGGTCCGGGCTTATTAAAGAACAGACAGCGATATCTGGGTAAGAAGCGGAAAGTTAAAATGTTAAAACAAAAGCAGAGCGATAGACGCGCATTGGGAACTCGGCACCTAAAAATGACTGTACCTATATTTGTGAATAATTAGCAGCCTCTCGCCAACAGTGAAGGGAAATATCGTGATATCACCTGCACCGGTATCGAAGAGGATTCTTCTTCTTCTTATCATATCGATGGCGTACGCTATAATGCGTAAGGTATTAGCCGATTGTTGCCATGGTGCGCCAGAAGTACAGGAAAGGAATGGTACGCAGAGATGGGCAGTGGGTTAAAACCCAATCAATGCGCGCGGGTTAAAACCCAATCAAGTTTTGGACCTAACGATCTTTTGTATCGAATAATTTCAATAGAAAGTCAAAAGTTGATCTTCTACATTAGAAAGATAAACGTTTTGTAATAATATCATCAGATTTGAACAAAACTCCATTTACAACAAATATTTAGTTTAAATATTTTTTGCCCTCGATATTGGGCATTAAAGGACTTTAACCCGATTTAAAACCGGCATTAACCAAGTGCCGGGTTAAAACACGGTCATTTGCTTAACTCTGATGGTAGGTCATGCGGGTGGATCCTTTCGTACATCCCTTTCGTGCCGAAGAAGATTCACAGCAAAATGTGTAGAATTGTGGCGTCTAAGACTTATGTTGCAAATGTTCTATAACACATCAATAGCTCCAAGGTAGGCCAGGGCTGGTAACTGTAAAGATATCTAACTGGGTGCTAAAACTTTCATCGATTTCTCATAGATGGCTCTACGACTAAAAAGTAATTGAAAAAACCAAATACAAAGATACGACGCAAGCACTTAGAAGAATTCGTGAGGTCGGCTGGTTCGTTCCGTGGCTTAGTTGGTATAGCGTCTGGCACGGTAAGCTAGTAGACGTCGGTTCGAATCCGGCCGGATCGAAGGAATTTTTTCTGAGTGTTCGATCTTTGTATTAATAATTATAGGAAACCAGTGGAATAATTTCACAATAAATAATTGAATATCAATTCAATGAAAATTTACCCTACAATTGAATAAGAAAAGTACAAGTAATTCCACGTATATTAACAATTTAGAAATATAAAAATTCAAAATCTCTCGTAATTTAAAAAACATCTGTACCACGTTAGCCTCTCCCTAAAAGCGAGCCTTTATGGAAATAAAACATTCTTCTCTATTAATCTTAATCCACCATCTCTGTTGTGTACAGAACATAAACAAACATACATCGCTCTTTAAATTAAGTGACCTATAGGTTCACTTAATCCATCGTTCTGAATTAATCCCTATACCTAGGTACATAGACGCGATTACGCGATTTACAAATAAGAATTCGTTATAGGTAAAACTGCGTTGAGATATAATATGTAAATTTTAAGCGACTGGGCCCAACAGCGGAGCCTACAGTTTTTACGGTCGCCAATTCCTACAAAGACGACAAAGTTAATTAGTAATACCAATCCGAAAATTTAATTCTCAAAAACTTTTCCAATTCCAAAAATTAGTTAAGACGAAGGTAGATTTAATTCCGCTGCTTCCCCAGATATTAAATTTAACTTCCGCACTTCCAATTACTGGTCCACGGTTCGACTCCCGCCTGATGTCTTTTTTAATCACCTAACTTTTTAATTTTTCGCTTAGCGTTGCCGTTTTGACTTTATATCTACTCGTTTTTTGTGATTTTTCATAATTTACTTTGTCTTAATTACTTCATAAAATGTCTTTGTTAATTATGAAGGGATGGGAAATAGTATTTTGACAGTGTAGCTTCGTGAAAGTGTAAGTCAAATTTATATTAAGGCTAATTTTCTTGAGACATCGTGAGGGGCAAGAGACTTGATTAGCACTACTACATACTAAGCAACGATTGAGTTGGGAGTAGTAATCGTAAGTGTTTTAAGTAAGTAAAAGATATAAATTAAGGTACTTTATAATTACTAAAGCGCAACCGAAAAACAGAGGAAATTATTACAAAATAAATAAATATCGACACACATTGGTAGTTCCCTACTCTAATGCACCGTAGTAGCTTCGTAATGCAAATCAAATGAAAGCAATTACACTTTCTGTCAATTTGCTCCAAGTGAGAACACTTTTACGACTACCAACTGGATGCTGATAATCAAAAACGTGTCAACCAATATAATCATAGTTTTGCGAAAATGGCACCTGAGATGACAACAGCAACAGTTTTCATTTTACGTAAATTTTAGAACAAACAAAAACCACGAAAAAGTTTAGGTACCATCCACTGTGGTAAATCACTGTCTTGCTACATTTGAGAACAGAACTGTTTTTGAAAAGCAGTACTACGGCGGGGTCTCCGTATCTTGAGTGCCTTACTGCGCTATATTATTCTACTAATGTTCAAATATAACGCACTTAAGTGTATTAAAATTTATAACAATCATGTGAAAATTTGAAAAAACAAATAATCGTCAGAGTTGTATTCGAACACTCAGTGATGTCGGAGACGTTAGATACGATATAGGGAACGATAAATCTTTAAAAAGTTTACCTTTTTAAACCTTCAAGATTTTCAAAACCTCCAACCGTGAAACCAAACTTATAATAACAAAGTCATTGTAGCATAAAATAGCCTTTGTAGAGGCACAGAGATCTTAGAACGGGCACGGTGCCCCCTTGGCCAATTAGCGATTAATGTAGTGGAAACACTCGCTTTTAACGGCTTTTCTGCGATTGTTTCGGAGACACTCTTTGATTTTATATAAGTGTTTGGTTCCATTGTCTTAACGTACTCTAAATATAATTGAATCAGTATGAGATTTTTGGAGTAAGTGAATAGTAAAAACAGAAACCTACTTTCAACAATGGGTGATTATGGGTTCAGCCAACCAAATATCATCATAAGCATGTAAAATAATAATAATAAAAATAAATAAATATTAGACAACATGACATACGTTGCTCTGATCCTAAAGTAATTAACTAAAGCACTAGTGTTATGGAAATTGGAAACAACGACGCCGACGGTACCACAAACACCCAGACCCGAGACAATATAGAAAAGTTAGTTTCTACACTGACCCGG